AATCAATTAATCACTACTTTCACCCTATTCCAACATCAATCAATCAACTAAGCGAAGATTAATTGGGTTTTCCTAAAATTGAATTATGCAAACGAATTGCACACATTTAATCAATCCTACACTGAACAGATTAATTAACTAAACGATAATTAACCCACATTAGACCATTAAGTGTGTTCTAATCTCCAATGCACAATAGATTCAATGAAATGCAAGGTAAAGTGCAACAAATTTACATTTAATACCCATAAATCTCAAGTAAAATGTTGCAGCATCGCTAATGACCAAACCAAATCGATTAAACTTCCATTAACACTTCAAAACAGAACCAAGCATTAAAAACGCTAACATAGAATTGGAACAGCAAGGGAAAACGAACAACAACTTGAAACACGAACTTCAAATGCACAAACTAAATTCACACAATGAAAACGAAACCCAAACAGAATCAAAACCGAATTGGAACATTCAAAAACGAACCTAATAGCATAAACAACAACCCATGAACGAGAACCCTAATCCTAAAATGAAAAACAAATTAGAACCTTAACACAACAAGGCAATCTGGACAGAAAGGAAAATGCATTGTACTAGAACAAAAATGGAAGAACAAAAATGGAAGAACGAAAATAGAAGCTTCAAACAAAAAACGAAAGTGGCTCCGAAAGGTAAAAGCTGGAATGAAATTTAAACAAGAAAGGAGAAAGGAAATTGAAATCCAAAACAAACTTCCATTAAATTGCAAAATATAAAGTATACCCAAGAAGCCTATTAGGAGGAACTCTTCTACTATTCCATAAGACCGAAAAACCTAAAAGAGAGAATGAGGGAGAGAGTTAGGGTGTGCCTCCCTTTGCCACAAAACTAGGTCAGAAATTACAATTGGGTCTCTCTCCAAATATGACCAAAAACGGTCCAAATACTAATTATGTCCAAAAGTCCACTGAAACGAAATTACAATTTAATTCTAAGTTAAAATGCTGATGTGGCAAGTGAAGAATGACGTGGCAACTCCTTGTCCCAAAGTATACTTCCAAAAATTCTTTTACAATTAATAATGACAATAATTAGGCTAAGATAATTCAAATTAATTAAAATAAAAATTACTAGTAAAAAATTAAGCATAATTAGCAAAATTAGAAAAATAACGAACATTCAATCATAATTCCTCAATTAAATGTAATACAATAAATTAAGTGAAGTAAAGATAATATTGACTCATTAATAATAAAAAATAAATTTTTAATGAAAATTTAATTAAAAATAATCAAATTTATAAACAAGTTAAAACTGACTTAAATTTAGTTCATTTTATAATTCTTATGAAAATTATGATTTTTAATTTACTTCTGAGACACTGTGCAGTCATTAACAGTTGATGGTGAAATTACAAATACTTAGTTATTTATCAAAATAACAAAATAAATCAATGAAAAATCACTTTTATTAAAAGTTTACTAAAAACAATTATCCTCTTTTTATTAGAAAATAAGTACGATTATCGTCAAAATTGTTAAAGGAGGAAAATACGCGTTAAACAAATTTACATATTGAAAAGAAATATAGAAAAAAAAATAAATCCTATGATTAAGACATGATAAATAAACGCTAACATGGTCTGACACAAACTGAATTAAGAGTGGAATGATTTTTTATTTATTTAATATTGTAAGTGCTGAGTAAAATATCAGCAATCAAAAAAGTTAATAAATATTTGACATTTATTGCACCCTAATGAGTAAATCAAAAGTATATAATTGAAGATCACATGGAAACTAAATATTGTTAGGTTAGGTTTAGACATAAAGTCACGGAAGATCCAACTTTACACTTCACATAGAAAGCTACTTCAAGGATATATTTAGAACACTAAAAATAAATTGAATTTAAAATAGCACAGAATAGGAAGAGACTCTTCAAAGACAAATTATATTTTAGCAGTTGAAATTTACTCTAAATCAAATATTTAATAATAATTTCATAAGATCTTCTATATTGCTGAGGACAGTTTAATTTAGTTATTGCTCGTCTTTCATTCTGTTTGGTTTGATTATCTATAAAAAAAAAATATTTTGATGTCGGTAAAAAAAATTGATAAATTTAATAATAAATACTAATATTTGTGATTTATGTAGAATAAGCAAAACTATTGTAGAATTGTCACTAGGGAGAAACACTGTAGTTAAATTAATTTAGAATCATTTCCATAATTGGTAAGAAGGTGAATAGAAACACATCAAAATGATTTATGAGGTGATCGAGAGGGCGATGATTAAAGAGCTTTAGGTTAGCAAGGTAGTATATGTTATATCGAGTCACTTTTTTTTTCTTCGAATCAAAGAAAACCCTTCAAAAAAATTCCAATATTTGATCAGCACATCAGGTAGTTTTTGGTCCTTACAATTTTAATATATAAACTTTAATTTCATTAACTTTATTTAAGTTTTATAAATAATTAAGGCAATAAAATACATGGTTGATGTTTAATACATGGTTCGTTTTCTCACTTTTGCACCGTTTTAAATTAACTTTACTCTGATTACATCACTCTTTGATGCATTATCTTTCATTTGAACCGATTAAAATGCGTTTTCGTTGGGTTTTGGTGCAGTTTTGCTCATGTCCTTGGGCGGCGTTCTTGGGCGGCGATTTATTGCGTTTTGCAGTCCTCCAATTCTCTCCACTACGTTTTTAAAATCATCCAATACAAAAAAAAAACGTACAATACATTCTCTTCAACTAAAATATAAAGTTGTAAACTCGAATCACCATGAGTCAGGAGCAACCTGAAAGGCCTCAAGCGGAAAAAGATCCAATCAAATACGACAACGTTTTAGACGTCTGATCTATAGTGTCAGACGTCTATATAGACGTCTGACCTATTGGGTCCGACGTCTCACTAACGTCACCCATATAGACGTCAGACGGAGATCAGACGTTAAAAGTCCAAAATAACATACGTTTAAAGTCCTTTCTGCACTAGTGATACTTTCGTGATTTTAAAAACTAGTAAGCTAAAAAATAAAATAAAATTAATATGGTACTATATTTATTTATAGATCATATTAGTGTATATATATATATATGAGTTTGCTAATTTACGTGTAAGGTTTTTTTAGTTGGTACATTTTAGCAAAGTGTACCAAATTTTAATGGACAAAAAAAATCTCCATTCAAAGAAAAACATACTTTAAACCCAAAGGTATTTTAATAATTTTAATATTTAACTTAAAATAAAAAAAATAAAAGTTAGTTATTTATGACTTAATAATTACCTTTTATTTTTTTATTTAAAAAAAACCTTAAACCGTAAACCCTATCATCCATGATTACTGTCACTTAGTTATTTATCATCCATGATTGTTGCCACATAGTTATTTATCATTCATGATTGCTGCCACGTGTATTAGTAGTTATTAGTTTTTTGGCTTAATACCTTATTTTGTTCCCAGTTTCGTTCGACAATGTCAAATTAGTCCATCCTTTAAAACGTGCGTCAATTAGGTCCCTACTTAATAAAATTTATATCAATGAAATCCCTTCCGTTAAATCCTTACAAACGACGTTTATTTATAAAGTTCACTCTTTTTTTTTTATTTTGATATTTAATATCTTCATAGTGTGAACCCTATAATGCGATGTTTTTAGCAAATTTGAGGAGAAAGGAATAATAATAAATTTTGAAAAATCTTCATTTAATGTATCATAACTTGTTCGACCAAGAAAATATCATAAATTGTTGTGATACAAATATAAAATAAGATAGTAACTTCATAATAAAATCTTTAGTAGAAGAATTACAAGATTGGTAGAAAAAATATAACTAATTATAAATAATATGAATGTTTTGACTGAAGTTATTTATAAAGAAATCAAAGAAATGGTGAGGAGTGACACAATTGACCAGTTGTACTTAATCAAAGTTTAATATAATTAAGTTCTATTATTCGATTTTTTATTTGTCAAAAAGTTGAGATATAAGAAAGGTTGTCATGCAGGATCCTGTGAACATAATAAAGTTATTGTTGACAAAGAAATTATGTTATCAGTTTCTTATTTGAATAGAATGAACTACAATATTACTCTTCAACGAAAACTTTTAAAATTTTTCTATCTATAAACATGTTCTAAAATATAAATGGTCTTGTAACTCAACATAAATATAAATCCAAAACTTCTATAAGAAATAAAAAAAAATTAAAACTATCCTGTTGTCACTTTTTCTAAATATATCAACATATTTAATTTAAGTAAATTCACCTCTAACTTCACTATCAATATCGCCTTAATTCAATTGGAAGATAAAACTTACCATATTATCTTCGTAAACCAGCTCCCTAATTCTTTTCCTACCAATTTACTACCATTCAATCATATTTAAAGTAATATTTTTCTCTACCAATTTAATGCATGAAAAGTATTCTAAAATCCAATTTTAAAGTAGCTTTATTGTGACATTGACATATTAATAATGCATGAAATTAAACTATTTATAGTAAATAAATAAATAAAAATATATTTACTTTATACTAAATTGTTTTAGAGACTTTTTCAGATATTTTTTCAAAAGTAATATACTGAAAGCCGAACAAATCACTATACTGTACCGTAATTGCACTCTAAAATAAAATTGTGATTATTACTTAAATGAAAATAAATTATCCCAGTTTTTGGAATAATCTAGAAAAAATTGAATATTGTATTATAAGTGTATCATTTTTATAAATAAAATTATAAAAAAACTCTCTAAATTTTAAATATATTTTCATTAAATAACTTTTAATGTTTACTAAAAACTCATTATTTTGCACATTATTTTTCATGAATAATTACATGAGTTTGGTTGCTTTGAAAACAATCCAACATTTGAGAAGTTTTACCCTCATGAAAAACGATACAAAAATTACCATGGACATAGAAGTGTCCATCGATGAATGATTATGCCACCCGCTTCCAAGGTTGATGTGTGATCATTATAAGGACTCTTCTCTTCCCTTTTGCAAATCCATTTTTCTTGTGACCTCATCAACACAACCATGTTCACCAAACTTTTCTTCTTCTTTCTCCTCTTCACTCCCTTCATCTTCACCACACAACAAGACACCCATGATGATTTCGTGCGTACCTTGGACCGCAAAATGTTTGGTTTGGACGAAAACCAAGAAAAGTTTAGTCATTTCAGGTTGTATTGGCACGACGTGGTGAGTGGACGCAACCCTTCTTCCATCGAAGTAGTTTCATCAGGGTTGAAGAACTCAACGACGTCGTTTGGAGCGGTGAACATGATAGAGAACCCTTTGACATTGGAACCCCAATTGAACTCTCAGTTGGTGGGGAAGGCACAGGGGTTCTATGCTTCGACGTCGCAGAGTGATGTTACCTTGCTGATGGCCATGAACTTCGCCATCACTGAAGGGAAGTACAATGGCAGCAGCTTCACCATTCTTGGAAGGAACCCTGTTTTCAACGAGAAGAGGGAGATGCCTGTGATCGGTGGAAGTGGCCTCTTTCGTTTTGCTAGGGGTTATGCTCAGCTCAGAACTCACTGGTTCTCGCCCACCACCAGGGATGCCATTGTTGAGTATACTGTTTATCTTCTGCATTATTGATATATATCATATCAAAGGATATTATTTGTATGAATCGTAATTTAAGTGAATAAGTGTCATCTAAGTTACAACTCAAAAAGTTAAAATAAAAAAACCTTTAAAAATAAAATCATCACTCTGTTTGACATTTTACCTTTTTAGTTTCTTTTTATATTTAAATATTTAGTCAAAATTTTATGTCGAAATATTTATTTCTTGTTTTCTGCTTCTGGTCAATTATTGATTTATAGACATTTACTTATCGGTTAACGAAGAAATTCAGCACCCTGCATTTAACGAGGTTAGCAAAACGATAGAAATCTACTTGTTTAGCAAAAGAAATTTGGAAATTTTATAAAAATAGTTGTTGTTACTATATGAGATCGAGTCACCTAAATTAGCACGTCTTCTCTGTCGGTTCGGTCTTCGTGAGATTTTTTTTTCCGTTGTCCAAAGTCTGTTCGTCCTGTCCGCTTGGGAGGGTACCTGTCAAAGGTGCTCTAATCCTTAAGTCAGTAATGGTCCGATCGGTTGTTTAAGTGTTGCAATAAATGCGTAATTAATGAATCTGCCTACCTCTTATCTTTGACCTGTATTTATAGTTTTGGTAATGGGCCTAGGATTAGCAGGGCCTTAATCATGGCCCAATTCAGAGCCCAATCCTCTAATCAGTGTTTTACCTTAATCGCGTCAGGAGACCTACTTGACACGACTATCCGGTATGAGTGATTGGGACGTGTCGTCCGTCCTATGTGTTTGTCTGGGGTCGTCCGGGGTCATCTGGTACATCAGGCCCCCCAAGCCCTAAACAATTAATTGTCGTTGGGTTCTACGGTAGTGGGTGGCTGGTCGGCGCTTTTTTGAATTGAGTTTGAGCGGGAAAACACGTGTCGTGTTGTCATAGGTTGTCTGCCTCGGGTAGTGGGATCGTCACTTGATTTGAGTCGTTGAAAGGGTAGCGCCCCTCATCCTCTACCGGACAGTCTAATCGACCCGACATTCAACGTGGTGGGGGGGAGCGAACTTCCACATGAGCTCCTTGCAACGGGCGGTGATCGAACCAATGTCAGAGAAGGACATCATCGAGGCCGCGTTGGAGTTCGCGAGCTGGGGGGCTATACTGGTCTGGTACCTACGCGAATTTGTCGATCGACGAAACGTTGGGGATGTCCAAGCGGAGCTGGCCGCTGAGAAGAAGATCGTCGAAGATCTTCGGGCTCAACTAGAAGCTCTGACTCTTGAGCATAAAGAATGTGAGAAGCAGCGGTCCGAACTAGAAGAGAAAATGGATGAGGTGCGCCGGGAGCTGAGTACTACCATCCAACAACTGAAGGACACCCGTGCTAGGAGCGACCGGGTAGTTGAGGAAGCCGAACGGTTGAAGCTGGAGGCGAAGCGACGAATAAAAAATGAAAATGAGCTGCAGAGTCAGGTGGATCGTCTGATTTGTGAGGTGGAGAAGGCCAACGAGGCCATTGCTACTTTGAACACAAATGTTCAAATTGAGCATGAAGATGGCTTTAATAAGGCCCTCCGCAAGCCGCTTGTCTGTTGGGGACGGATCCTTTGGCCGCCGGCTTCGACATTTGCCAAGATGTCTACGACGGGAAGATGATGCCGGTCGTATCTTGACCGGTTGATGAGGACGTGGTGGTCGAGGAGGAGGAGCATCCGGATGGGTGATGACTGATTGATGCTGGGGAAATTTGTTTTTTGCTTTTTGGGGTAGGAGTGATCAGGGACCGAAAGGGTTATACTTGTTTGTATCAGTAGTTAGTTTTGATGTCATACAAATTTGTTTTTTGTTAATGAATTCTAAGTTTTTAAATTTTATCTCTATCGTTCGGTCATTTGTTATCGCTCGTTTAATGAATTTTACATACGTGCGCTTTAAAATTTTATGCTGATATGAAATTGTTAGTTTTGACCGTTTAATGGGGGGTTCATTGTAGGAACTCCGTATCGGCCACCTGGCCAGGTTATGGACTCTTA